CGTTGCATCATCCTTCGAAGTACATTTCCATGTAGAATATTATTCTGACCTCTACCTTACTTGTAACTTTGCTACCGACCAGTTCTATTGACCCCTCCACCTCCAAAAACTTAAGGATACTTCTACGAGAAGTTTGAACTATCATAGCTCAACTTATCATTGCCTCTTGTTGCCGTGGTCCACCACAGTTTTTGGGAGAACTTTTTGAATCTTATTCCCCAGTCATAAAGACGGTTTTAAGGAATGTAATGGCATAAGAAAGTGGTATATTCGTTACTTGACTGACGTGGGGCTTTGAAAAATGATGTCTCTCTCAACCCCACTCAGGGTATGAAAAGGGAAAAGACGTGCGAGATAGAGCCAAGAAATTATGAGGCTTTGATTTTTTTTAAGAATTGAACTTTCTACTGTTAAGAAATAACAGTCTTGATTGACAAAATTATTTATTGAAATCAGCTTTGACCTCATGTATTTCGATCCCTCACAAACGATATTTTACTAAGAACAATCGTACAAACTTACGTTTTAATTAAGTTCGATAAATAAGTACCTACTATTTATTGTACCACACACAAAAGTGACTAAAAAGATATTGGTAGTAGGTATTTAGTCAATTTTTATCACATTTTATGATCCTTTAAAACTTCTTTACCGACACTTGAACTATCTAGGAAAAAAATACCACTTAAATATTCTATTTCTATCTTCTTACCTGTATNAATACCTGTAAAATTATTTCATATCTTCGTTCATTCACTTCAGCCAAAAGACCTGCCTCCATCCAGCACCTTCCTGCTACCTTCATGAGGTCGTGTGTCCACGCTGCCCTAAAAAATCTTTGGAAAAAATCGTCCCTTTAAAAATAATAGCTGCTGACGTATTGCATAATCCGCTCCCGCACCTACCTGACAAAATACATGATTAAACTTCAGGTTGAAATATGATCGCATTGACTTTCACCATTACTCAACGCGTCCGTCAATGATTAAAGTTTGCACATCCATCTTGGGGACAATTTCCAGGAATTATCTTTAAACTTATAATGGGGAAGCTAGAGCAATGCTAAGGAGTTTTAATTTGAATTAACATTAAGCCTTCACTAGACAAAAGCCTCCTCCAAGGACTTCCATAACGTCCGGTCTTACGCTGCTCGCGTCCAGGCACCTCTCCTGACCCTCACCAGATCGTCGGTCCACCTAGTGAGGACTTGTACTCGTATAATGATCAATTAGCATGTCACAATATCTGGGAATCGAACCCATGACCTCCAGATGGATACCTAAAGATAATCCAATTCTTTAACCACTAGACCATAGACGTTTATTGCTTCATAAAACCTTAATCTAAAAACATGTAATAAGCATATACAGTCAACACAACTAAAAATTTTTGAAGAAAAATCGTACCTATTACAACTAGTTAAGGTACCAATATGTTTAGCTTAAAGTGCTGCCTTTCGTACGTAAATAGGAGGTATTTTTAATACAAGTGTTTTACTAAAAAGAACTTATTATGAGTATAACATCTCTTAAAGGCTAAATAGACCGTTATGCGTCGCCCTATCCTGAAATATCCAGTTAATGCTTGTTTGCGAATTAGGGTTCAGTTGGGTGTTATAAAAACTGTAGAAAAGGCTATAAAAATAATTTTACCAACGAAGAAGCTTTTGGCCTACACACTACCTAAGCACTGCTGAAAAACATAGTGTAGGCAGGCATCCATACTACTTGGTAGACCGAAGGTCTGGTAAAGGTGCAGGACGCACCTGGAATAGAAATCTTTTGGCGAAACCTTGGTCCAACTACACGAGTACAAACCTACCTCCTAGGCAGAAACTGTTTGTACCTATAACAAAAATATTCACTTAAGGAACCCCTTCATTAAATATCCTCACTGCTACCCAATTTGTACGTCGCTGTAACCCAGCTTAAAAAGAGTTTGCATCTTAATATCGTTGCTTTTTAGCGTCAAATATGATCATTTGCGACAAAATGAATTCGTATTTTACATAGCTATTATTAAAACACCAACCACAACAAATTATCAAACGAGACTATCAATTCTCGCCCCTGAAATTCCTCTGTAGCCACGATCTATAGGCTACAGGCTTTACCTACAGCCTGACCGCCAATAAAACCCAATTTATTGAAGGAACCACGCGAGGTAAGTCAAAAATAAAATACATACGAGCATACTAACTTCATATTTGATATTACTTTCCGACTAAAGATGTTCTACTGTACGACTACGAGTTCTATGTTCTTCTGATTAATTTCGTTGCGGGTCCAATGACAGTTTAACTTTCCCCCGGGACAAACTTGACCTTCATTGGTTGGGTTTTTATGGCGGTCAAGCTGTAGATCCTGGCTACACAGGAGTTGCAGTGGTGGGAACGAGAAGTGGAAATAGTCCCGTGTACGAGTACGAGTACTTTGTCACTATGTTTCACTTTGATTTTTAATTACCACTGTGAGTGCTCCACACTGGACTATTAACAACATTATACCTAATTACTGATCTGATTATAATAACATTCATAATACATAAATATGTTTACGCTTTCAAGATTATGTCATCGAAAAATCTGGCTTTCTCATATTTAAATTCCAACTTTGTTAGCAATAAACAATATTATTGTTTATAATTCTCAGAAACTACTCATACGAGTAAACAATATGATAAAACAAACACGCGAAATGTTTATATTCATGTGTCTCGTAGTTCAACTCCCAGTGTTCGAGCGATTGTGTATACGAGTGCATTGTGGTGATAACTTGTAATAGGACAGTGGGAGATATTGTGCAGAGGTAAAATTGGCTTCTAGAATCAAGCTGTGTTGATAAAAAATCATTTTAAAGTTGTTGAAGACCAAAGTTATTCACTAAAAGTTCTTTTAGGAGACATTCCTAACCAGTGAATGAAGAAATTCGTTGTAAAATTTTACTGCTTTACACAATCTAAAGTGAACTTTGAGATCTTCAAANACCTGTATAATTATTTCATATCTTCGTTCATTCGCTTCAGCCAAAAGACCTGCCTCCATCCAGCGCCTTCCTGCTACCTTTATGAGGTCGTCTGTCCACGCTGCCCTAAAAAATCTTTGGAAAAAATCAACCCTATAAAAATAATAGCTGCTGACGTACTGCATAATCCGCTCCCGCACCTACCTGACAAAATACATGATTAAACTTCAGGTTGAAATATGATCGCATTGACTTTCACCATTACTCAACGCGTCCGTCAATGATTAAAGTTTGCACATCCATCTTGGGGACAATTTACAGGAATTATCTTTAAACTTATAATGGGGAAGCTAGAGCAATGCTAAGGAGTTTTAATTTGAATTAACATTAAGCCTTCACTAGACAAATCCTCCAAGGACTTCCATAATGACCGGTCTTACGCTGCTCGTATAATGATCAATTTGCATCTCACAGTATCTTGGAACCGAATCTAGAACCTGCAGACAAAGATAATCCAATTCTTTAACCACTAGACCATAGAAGACGTTTATTGCTTAATAAAACCTTAATCTAAAAACATGTAATAAGCATAATATCCCCTAGCGAGATACAGTCAACACAACAAAACATTTTTGAAGAAAAATCGTACCTATTAAAACTACATAGAGTACCAATATGTTTAGCCTAAAGTGCTGCCTTTCGTAAGTAAATAGGAGGTATTTTTAATACAAGTGTTTTGCTAAATAGAACTTATTATGAGTATAACATCTCTTACAGGCTAAATAGCCCGTTATGCGTCGCCCTATCCTGAAATATCCAGTTAATGCTTGTTTGCGAATTAGGGTTCAGTTGAGTGTTATAAAAACTGTAGAAAAGGCTATAAAAATAATTTTACCAACGAAGAAGCTTTTGGCCTACACACTACCTAGGCACTGCTGAAAAACATAGTGTAGGTAGGCATCCATACTACTTGGTAGACCGAAGGTCTGGTGAAGGTGCAGGAAGCACCTGGAATATAAATCTTTTGGCGAATCCTTGGTCCAACTACACGAGTACAAACCTACCTCCTAGGCAGAAACTGTTTGTATAACAAAAATATTCACTTAAGGAACCCCTTCATTAAATATCCTCACTGCTACCCAATTTGTACGTCGCTGTAACCCAGCTTAAAAAGAGTTTGCATCTTAATATCGTTGCTTTTTAGCGTCAAATATGATCATTTGCGACAAAATGAATTCGTATTTTACATAGCAATTATTAAAACACCAACCACAACAAATTATCAAACGAGGCTATCAATTCTCGCCCCTGAAATTCCTGTGTAGCCACGATCTACAGGCTACAGGCTCTACAGCCTAACCGCCAATAAAACCCAATTATTGAAGGAACCACGGGAGGTAAGTAAAAAATAAAATACCTAAGTACGAGCATACTAACTTCATATTTATTTATTTATTTATTTAAACTTTAATGCCAAAATAAATTTGTACATAAGGCGAACTTAATGCACTAAAGCATAATATTTATATTTATAATATTTGATATTACATACCGACTAAAGATGTTCTACTGTACGACTACGAGTTCTATGTTCTTCTGATTAATTTCGTTGCAGGTCCAATGACAATTTAACTTTCCCCCGGGACAAACTTGACCTTCATTGGTTGGGATGTTATGGCGGTCAAGCTGTATAGATCCTGGCTACACAGGAGTTGCAGTGGTGGGAACGAGAGGTGGGAATAGTCCCGTGTACGAGTACGAGTACATTGTCACTATGTTTCACTTTGATTTTTAATTACCACTGTGAGTGCTCCACAGCTGGACTATTAACAACATTATACCTAATTACTGATCTGATTATAATAACATTCATAATACATAAATATGTTTACGCTTTCACGATTAATGTCATCGAAAAATCTGGCTTTCTCATATTTAAATTCCAACTTTGTTAGCAATAAACAATATTATTGTTTATAATTCTCAGAAACTACTCATACGAGTAAACAATATGATAAAACAAACACGCGAAATGTTTATATTCATGTGTCTCGTAGTTCAACTCCCAGTGTTCGAGCGATTGTGTATACGAGTGCATTGTGGTGATAACTTGTAATAGGACAGTGGGAGATATTGTGCAGAGGTAATTTGGCTTCTAGAATCAAGCTGTGTTAATAAAAAATCATTTTAAAGTTGTTGAAGATCATAGTTAGTCACTAAAAGTTCTTTTAGAAGACATTCCTAACCAGTGAAAGAAGAAATTCATTGCAAAATTTTACTGCTTTACACAATCTAAAGTGAACTTTAAAATCTTCAAAATAAGCTCCAAATTCATTATCTTTACAGATGGAGAATGTCATTATTCTCCTAATGACAACCTTAGTGCTGACTGAGGGCACCCCGGTCATGACGAGACAGGGTCTTCTCCGGCAAAAGAATCGCGAACAGTTTTGCACCAGTTTACTGAACTTCAACAACTTTTTCTACTCGATGGAGGAACGCAGAAACGTCAGCGGAATCCCAGCTGACATGAGCATCCATTGGAAGACTGGCAATGTGTTTTTTACACTGATAAGTGAAGAAATGAAGATGAGCCTTCAAGTGTTACACCCCAGTGGGGAATTCGAGACTATTAAAGTTGCCGGGCTAGGCCAGTCGACGTGTGTTGATAACCTCAACGATATTGTTTATCTGGCTACTGATAACGGCGTTTATAAATACAAAGAAGACGGCTCCATCGAATTGTATACAGCTTTGGGAGAGGACGTGATGTATATTGCTGTGACCAGCGATGGGAATGCAATGTTCATAGCCACTTGGCCTCAAAACCGAGTCCATAAAATAACAAATGAAGGTCAGAAACAGGAGACGTTCGCAGCGATCCCCAACGGTCATGGATTGACTGTTGATACAAGAAACAACATATTTTTCGTGGCTACGAAAACGTCTTACGTTCTGAAGAATGGGCTGAATATCCCTATCAAAATCAAAGGTCTTCCAAGCGATAGGATGACAGGGGTTTTCGTTAGTCGATCAGATGAAGTCTTTGCTATGGATGAGAACAGTAATTTATACGTTATTGATGCAGAAAATGCTAGTGCAAGGCATTTGGGTAGTTTTAATGTGACTGGAGTAAATTCCTTCGCTATGGATTCTGCTGATAACGTACTTATTGGAGTCAAAGGAGCAATAGTGAAGTTTAATGCGTACGAGAAGAATCCATGCTCGGATTTTGACACGTAATTATTGATTGTTTTTATGAATGTGTCTGACTAATACTCAAATGTATCTTGTTTTTAGTTAGTAGTTTGTTAAATGTTTTGTAAATAAAGAACTTAACCAACACCAATCAAATGTTGCTACTACGGTCGACGGCACGTCAATGTAAACTCTAAACATTCTAGCTTTGTAGTAACTACATAGCACATAGTTCACACGTATCATATAGGCACTGTTGCATGCATTATAACATCTCCAACTGCTGTAAGTAAGTAGGTAGGTANAATAGGTACCTACCAGTCGACAGGACATCGGATTGTTTTTTTTATTGCGAAATTGCCCCTATGATAAGTGCGTAAGATGCCACAGTGTTTATTATGCCGTCGTCTCTGTACTTACCTACTTTAAAATTATTGCAATAGTATGGCGTGCTACTACATTTTACTGTTAACAGGACTATCATGTAGAATTCTACGACGAATTCTCAAAAGCGCCAAATTAAACAATTTTCCTTGTGAATAATTATTTATTTATTATTTTCCTGTAGCCAAAATAACACCTTTCTACATATTTTTGTGCTAATAATATACACGTACTACTTAGATAGAAAAAAGGAGACAGTCAAAGACTCTTCTTACTTGCTTACTTACTACTAAACTTTTGGGGGAGGCATATTTGTTTAGTAGTGTTATGCCCTAAGGCTGAAATGATAATACTGATGATCTAAGTAGAGTAGGTATGATCATAAACAATTAAATTAGGTATATTCATTTGTCTCAGGAGCTGTTTTCTTTTTTCGCGCCCATTTTAACTAGGTTAAAACACGATCAGAATTAATTAACAAGTACATATTAGTACATTATATTTATAGGCCAGTTTCACCAGTTGCTGAAAAAAGTCCCTGATAGAATTTAGTAAACTTTGTCAATAACTTCAACACCTTTTGGTTTTACAGATCACGGGTAGAGATATCTGGCAGAAAAAGTAAACGGTAATCAATTTCTTCTTGTCTGTTTTATTTGGAACTGGCCTATTTATTGATTAAACCACGACGTTCTATCCTACCTAAAGTAAGTAGGTACTTAGGCACCTATCACTAGGTACCTAGTAAAATGAAGATGATGGGTTTGGTGTATTCGTTTAGCGTCCCCAACTTGTAGGAATCCCAATATTGACATCAAATAAAGTTAATTATTATCTTTTAGACCAAACACCACTAAGAAAGGAAAGAGACATAGCCGAAGGCGCAAACACAAGAAACGCTCTACGACCACCACTGAAGCCAACGATGATGATGAAGAGGAATAAAATTTAAGCGATATTAAATAATAATAAGGAATAATAATAAGTTTCAGATTTTGAGAAATGCAATAAATTATGTTAATTTACAATTGTTTATTTAATGCCATCTAGCGAGTCAATATGTTACTAAATCATCCATGGCGCAGAGACTAACGCCATCTGTGAACATAATTCAGAACTGCTTCCTGCTTCTTGACAAATAGTACTGGACAGTGCGATAGATGGCGGTAGTCTTTTATGATCGTGCTAAAAATAAAAATAATTGAAACAAAAATTCATAAATTAATATATTTTAAGTTTTATTTTCCAAAAATTTTTTTTCCTTGTGCATAAATATAAATTGCCCCAAATAATATTTAATTTTATTTACATTTTGGAAAAACGAAACGCAAAACTGTATTGCCTTCACATTGCGTATTTCCATAAATATAGGTAAAATGTTGTCTTGTGTACCTAGTTGTAATGTATTGAATTTTTATCTCAAAACCAGATCTTAATTCCTTGAAATAATAAAAAAAATAAAAAAGCAAATAATTAACTTGCTTTAAAGATTAGTTCTTAAAAATCTAATAATCATTTCTCTACAGCTACACCAATATTCAATATAAATGATAGATTTTCTTATCAAAATGAGTATTATTATTATTAATTTTGAATAAATTGTGCTCAATCAATATTTTTTTAAGCAAAAATATCGTCGCGGTCCAGGGTAACGCGAGTGCAATTTTATGGCAACATCGATTACTCCTCCATTTGTAACCTCCATTCACATCACAGTTCCGTTTGTCTGTCATTCATTTGTCAAATTGTCATACGCGTCGGTGATGTGTTCGTGCGCGATCGTTGCTCGTTGTTAAATGTTTTGTAAATGTTGTGCGTTTATGTGATAATGAGAAAACACGCGCTAGACTACCTAATTATTAAGTGATGAATGTGTTATAAGTTCAGTGTGCTGTTATAAATTTGTTGTTTTTTGTATGTCACCGGACTCCAACATGGCGGCACCACGGCACAAATCACAACAGAAAAATATATCTTCGATATTTTCGAAGTTGCACGGTGCTTTCTCGGATGCCGTATGCCCGACGAAGCTTGCGACAGACAAAAGAACATTGGACAAGACTTGGAAGTTGATGGACAAAGTGGTGAAATTGTGTCAACATCACAAGATGAATTTGAAAAACAGCCCGCCTTTCATTTTAGATATTTTGCCGGATACATATCAAAGGTTACGTGTAATATATTCTAAGTACGAAGATAACATGCAGGCGTTGAATAGTAACGAACATTTTAACATATTTATAATAAATTTAATACGGAAATGTAAGCAGGCAATAAAGTTGTTTAAGGAGGGCAAAGAGAGGATGTTTGACGAGAACTCTCACTATAGGCGTAACTTGACGAAGCTGAGTCTGGTGTTCAGCCACATGCTGAGCGAACTGAAGGCCATGTTCCCGAACGGAACGTTTGCCGGAGACCAGTTCCGCATTACCAAGAGTGATGCAGCTGAGTTTTGGAGGACTAACTTCGGTAACAGGTGAGTTTCTTTACATTTTATTGCAACAGTAATGGTATATTATCTGAATTGAAAAGGCAGAGCTTTTTCCTTAACAAGTTATTACGATCCTATGACCTAACTGTTCTTTGCTACCTCAATTCACTATGATAATATGATTTTAATGTCATTTCTATTAACCATTAAATTTTGATAGGTAATTGTCATTAATATTGTTGGTACTAAGGATTAAGAACCAATTATTCTCTAATTTTGAACTAGCGCCACAGAATAAGTAATAGTACAGGTACAGNGGTAGGTACCTACAGTCGACAGGACATCGGATTGTTTTTTTTATTGCGAAATTGCCCCTATGATAAGTGCGTAAGATGCCACAGTGTTTATTATGCCATCGTCTCTGTAACCTACTTTGAAATTATTACAATAGTAGGTATACTGGCGTGCTACCACATTTCCCATTACTGTTAAAAGGACTATCACATAGAATTCTACGACGAATTCTCAAAAGCGCCAAAAAAACAATTTTCCTTTTCAATTGTTATTTATTATTTTAAATAGAAGTTTCCTGTAGCCAAAATAACACTTTTCTACATATTTTTGTGCTAATATAAGTATGTTACTACTTAAACAGCTAAGGAGACAGTTATGTTTCAAAGACTCTTCTTACATGCTTATTTTTTAATTAAACTAGTTACTAAACTTTTGGGGGAGGCATATTGTTCAGTAGTGTAGGTATATTTACTAAGGCTGAAATGATAATACTGATGATCTAAGTAGTTATGATCATAAACAATAAAATTAGGTATATTCATTTGTCTCAGGCGCTGTTTTCTTTTTTCGCACCCATTTTAACTATTTAAAACACGATCAGAATTAATTAACAAGTAGTATAGTAGGTAGCTACATTAAATTTATTGGCCAGTTTCACCAGTTGCTGAAAAAAGTTCCTGATAGAACTTATTTGTCAAGGCCCAGAACAGACGGTGAAACGCAACTGCAACGAAACTGCAGCTTTATGATGATTCATATGAATGAAACTGAAAGTTTCAAACTGGTCGCGTCATGTGTGGTCTCTCAACGGACGCTATGGCAGAAACTTAGATGCAACTCAAAAGTAACTAGCAGTTGCAGTTTCGTTGCAGTTGCGTTTCACCGTCTGTTCTGGGCCTAACAACACCTTTTGGTTTCACAGGTCTCGGGTAGAGACATCTGGCAGAAAAAGTAAACGGTAATCAATTTCTTCTTTAGTAGAACTTGTCTGTTTTATTTGGACCTGGTAAAACTGGCCTATTTATTAGTTTAACCACGATGTTCTATCCTACCTAAAGTAAGTACTTAGGTACCTATCACTAGGTACCTAACTAGTAAAATGAAGATGATGGGTTTGGTGTGTTCGTTTAGCGTCCCCTACTTGTAGGTATCCCAATATTGACATCAAATAAAGTTAATTATTATCTTTTAGACCAAACACCACTAAGAAAGGAAAGAGACATAGCCGAAGGCGCAAACACAAGAAACGCTCTACGACCACCACTGAAGCCAACGATGATGATGAAGAGGAATAAAATTTAAGCGATATTAAATAACAATAAGGAATAATAATAAGTTTCAGATTTTGAGAAATGCAATAAATTATGTTAATTTACAATTGTTTATTTAATGCCATCTAGCGAGTCAATATGTTACTAAATCATCCATGGCGCAGAGACTAACGCCATCTGTGAACATAATTCAGAACTGCTTCCTGCTTCTTGACAAATAGTACTGGACAGTGCGATAGATGGCGGTAGTCTTTTATGATCGGGCTAAAATTAAAAATAATTGAAACAAAAATTCAGAAATTAATAAATTTTAAGTTTTTTTTTTCCTTGTGCATAAATATAAATTGCCCCAAATAATATTTAATTTTATTTACATTTTGGAAAAACGAAACGCAAAACTGTATTGCCTTCACATTGCGTATTTCCATAAATATAGGTAAAATGTTGTCTTGTGTACCTAGTTGTAATGTATTGAATTTTTATCTAAAAACCAGATCTTAATTCCTTGAAATAATGAAAAAATTAAAAAAGCAAATAATTAACTTGCTTTAAAGATTAGTTCTTAAAAATCTAATAATCATTGCTTTACACCAACATTCAATTCAAATGATAGATTTTCTTATCAAAATGAGTATTATTATTATAAATTTTGAATAAATTGTGCTCAATCAATATTTTTTTAAGCAAAAATATCGTCGCGGTCAAGGGTAACGCGAGTGCAATTTTATGGCAACATCGATTACTCCTCCATTTGTAACCTCCATTCACAGTTCCGTTTGTCTGTCATTCATTTGTCAAATTGTCATACGCGTCGGTGATGTGTTCGTGCGCGATCGTTGCTCGTTGTTAAATGTTTTGTAAATGTTGTGCGTTTATGTGATAATGAGAAAACACGCGCTAGACTACCTAATTATTAAGTGATGAATGTGTTATAAGTTCAGTGTGCTGTTACAAATTTGTTGTTTTTTGTATGTCACCGGACTCCAACATGGCGGCACCACGGCACAAATCACAACAGAAAAATATATCTTCGATATTTTCGAAGTTGCACGGTGCTTTCTCGGATGCCGTATGCCCGACGAAGCTTGCGACAGACAAAAGAACATTGGACAAGACTTGGAAGTTGATGGACAAAGTGGTGAAATTGTGTCAACATCACAAGATGAATTTGAAAAACAGCCCGCCTTTCATTTTAGATATTTTGCCGGATACATATCAAAGGTTACGTGTAATATATTCTAAGTACGAAGATAACATGCAGGCTTTGAATAGTAACGAACATTTTAACATATTTATAATAAATTTAATACGGAAATGTAAGCAGGCAATAAAGCTTTTTAAGGAGGGCAAAGAGAGGATGTTTGACGAGAACTCTCACTATAGGCGTAACTTGACGAAGCTGAGTCTGGTGTTCAGCCACATGCTGAGCGAGCTGAAGGCCATGTTCCCTAACGGAACGTTTGCCGGAGACCAGTTTCGCATTACCAAGAGTGATGCCGCTGAGTTTTGGAGGACTAACTTCGGTAACAGGTGAGTTTCTTTACATTTTATTTCAACAGTAATGGCATAATATTAACCGAAATGAAAAGCCAGCAAATGAGAAGCTTTTTCCTCAACAAGTTATTGCAATTCTATAACAAAACTGTTCTTTGCTACCTAAATTCACTATGAAAATATGAATTTATTTATTTAATTTAATGTCTTTTCTACTTACAAATAAATTTTATACAGGTAGGTGTCATTATTATTGTCGGTACTAAGGATTGAAAACCAATTATTCTCCATTTGACCTAGCGCTCATTATAGAAGTAGGTAATTATGTCAGTATCCTGTTAAAAATTCCATTAGCTCGTATCCTGTAATAATTCTGACTATTCTCCAGTTTGCAATTATTTTAAATATCAATAAATTTGCCTGATATAGGTAGGTAATTAAAAACAAATGAGGAAAGTCATCAAATACACTTTATCACACATTGTGATGATGATGAAAGACGAAAAGTCGTCATTATCATCATCATTACAATTACGTCACATACCAGAAAATGCAGAGGAAAAGTATGATAATAATAATAGGGAATAATTCCTATTATATGAGTAAAAGTGTTCTTTTAAACTCCAATGAAAACAATCACAATGTAGGTTACTGTAATTTTTCCTATGATTTCATTTAAAAGATTTTGCCTCTAATAATATAATGTACCAAAATAATTAATCTTATCATTGATTTTAGATCACACCGGCAAGGGCTAGTGGTTTAAAATCAACAAATAAAATGCCTTGATTCCTAAGCTAGCTTATTAGCTTATTTACCCCACTCATCAACTCTATAACTGTAGTGTTGTGTAGTTAATGTGGCTATTAACTCACACATTTCTTTGCTAATGACAACACTAGAGACAATGTGACATCCATTCTTATGACTTCCTATATTCTTGTACAGTCCTGAGCGATCTGTGTGTTAAATTTTGAACTCTAACACAATGGCGTAAGGATTTAACCTATTCTCTAGCTTGAGTGACATTGATGTCACTGTACTTCCTTATTGACTGACTGTCTTTCTCATGGGAACAATTCCTGCATGTAATTAGTTAGGTGTATTTGCAACTGCAAAAGTGCATTAGATAATTAGTGCATGTCCCTAATGATGAGTTGACGTTGTAAAAAAATATGCAAAGTTTTACACATGTAAAGTAAAAAAATGTTAATGCTTTGTAAAATTAATTAGATCTTAAAACATTTTACTTTTTATTGTCTTATCTTACCTAATAGTGATGGCACATCAAGCTGGACATTGCTTGCATTGGTTTCTATAAATAAATAAATACCGTGGACCAAGCTAAAAGTGGGCCAAATCACTGAAAGGCTCAAAAAAATGTAAGTTTGATAAGCTGTAAAGCCTTTAGGCTTAAAGTACTTAAAATAATAGGAATATATTTTGTGCGAGGTTTGTGATACATGCCTAATTTATGCGTACCTACATCCTAAATAAATACAGTATCTCGCAATAATGTAAATAAATAATGTTTTCTAACAATTACACCAGCTACCCACCTCCAGGCTCTAAATTAAGCAGAGTTTATGCTTTAAACTTACCTAATGGATGTATTACATACACAATACATTAATTTGCTCTCTGCAGGATTTGAACCTACAATAGGCAATGCTGGCATAGCATTGTAATCTTTTCACCAGCATTACATGTTAAACCTAGTACATAATTAATATAATTATGGCTGGAGTTATAATAATAAAACAAAAAATAAAAAGCTTTTATTTCCACAAGCATATTTACAATAAATTAAGTTAATTAGAAATGTTTGTTCATTCTTGTGGTACCCTGTAGGGGCAAAAGCCTCCAAGCTTTTGGCTGGAGTTATAGTAGGAACAAATGATTATGTAGTATTATTATCTTTAGTTATTACATAATTTATTTATTTGTAATGGCCTAATGTCATCTGTAGGTCACCTCATTTTGTATTTGGGCAGGATAGTAAAATTTTTCCTTATAACTCAAACACAGTGAATCATTAAAATTTATGGTATACCATAATTAATATCTGACTAAATTCAAGAACAATACAATTGTTTTTAGTTACAGCATGTCATTTGTATAGAAAAATTTGCATATAAATGCTTAGAGTTCATTGAATGCAGTTTTTATTGTTCCTGTTGTGATAAAATTTGAATTGTTTGTCTGTCTATGGATCAGTTCAAGGCCTAATTTGTTTTTTGTTACTGTAAATTAAACCTAAAAAGAAGCTTTAGACTCCCCGCAGACCACCGACTATTAGTCGACTTTATCGGCCGACAAAAAGTCGGTGGTCTGCGCCAAGGTTTAAATTTATACTTTTTCCCTTTTTCAATACATTTTTCATTCATCTTCCGCTCCTATCAGTCGTAGCACAGTAGATAAATCAAACAGTACGGAAGCTTCATACAAACGCTCGAAATCAGACTCACGCACACAGACGCGCGCTTTACACGAGCTCTAAGCGAACCTCGCAGTCCATCCGTCGCGAGTGTCGCGCGCGTTGTGTTTTTAATAATAATTTTATTGCATGCACTGTCCGCTGTATTTTTAAAAACATGCCACGAGTGTATTGCGTAGTATACGGCTGCTTGAACTCTGCATCTTCAAAACCAGAACTTTTATTTTTTAAACTTCGTAATAATTCTGAATTGTGAAAATGATTAAATATTACTTTTTAAATAAAGTGCACATCTGATTTTGTAATAGTTCTTTTTAAATTAAGTAATTACGCTTTTTAACAATTTATGTGTTCTATTTGATAAAGTAATTTGCTCCGCACCACGCTTTTGTACTAAGTGATGAACTGTATTTAAAATGAGGCAATAGGTATGTGAAAGTAAGTATCCGGTATTTTATTTATGAGAATAGATCTTCTAACGGCCTCTAATAGTACTTAATCAATTTATTCGATTATGTATTCGATCATTATAGAACCTAATTAACGTTTTATTTTTTGTTAACTACTTAGTCAATTAATTTATTCCATTGGGTATTTGATAATTAAAAAACCTAAATAAACGTTTGAATAAATAAGTAAGTAAGAACCCTATTAATTTTATAAAGATTAAGAGTGCCAACCCTAACACTCAGTCGAAGTGTAGGTATTTAACTCGCCGAAAGGGCTAAGTTTCCGTACTGCTTTAGCTCATATATATACTGTGGTCGTAGNGGATGTACCACGCGGAGTGAGCCAGGCCTGCTAGCGCTCATTATAAAAGTAGCAAAAGTAGGTAATTATGTCAGTATCCTGTTAAAAATTCCATTAGCTCGTATCCGGTCATAATTCTGACTATTCTCCAGTTTGCAGTTATTTTAAATATCAATAAATTTGCCTGATATAGGTAGGTAATTAAAAACAAATGAGGAAAGTCATCAAATACACTTTATCACACATTGTGATGATGATGAAAGACGAAAAGTCGTCATTATCATCATCATTACAATTACGTCACATACCGGAAAATGCAGGGGAAAAGTATGATGATAATAATAATAGGGAATAATTCCTATTATATGAGTAAAAGTGTTCTTTTAAACTCCAATGAAAACAATCACAATGTAGGTTACTGTAATTTTTCCTATGATTTCATTTAAAAGATTTTGCCTCTAATAATGTAATGCACCAAAATAATTAATCTTATCATTGATTTTAGATCACACCGGCAAGGGCTAGTGGTTTAAAATCAACAAATAAAATGCCTTGATTCCTAAGCTAGCTTATTAGCTTATTTACCCCACTCATCAACTCTATAACTGTAGTGTTGTGTAGTTAATGTGGCTATTAACTCACACATTTCTTTGCTAATGACAACACTAGAGACAATGTGACATCCATTCTTATGACTTCCTATATTCTTGTACAGTCCCGAGCGATCTGTGTGTTAAATTTTGAACTCTAACACAATGGCGTAAGGATTTAACCTATTCTCTAGCTTGAGTGACATTGATGTCACTGTACTTCCTTATTGACTGACAGTCTTTCTCATGGGAACAATTCCTGGATGTAATTAGTTAGGTGTTTTCGCAACTGCAAAAGTGCATTAGATAAATAATTAGTGCATGTCCCTAATGATGAGTTGACGTTGTAAAAAAATATGCAACATTTTACACATGTAAAGTAAAAAAATGTTAATGCTTTTTAAAATTAATTAGATCTTAAAACATTTTACTTTTTATTGTCTTATCTTACCTAATAGTGTTGGCACATCAAGCTGGACATTGCTTGCATTGGTTTCTATAAATAAATAAATGACATCTATGTATTTGTAATATGTACTATTTTGCAACATAATGAGTCTTCCAGTGACTAGGCCCACTTTTAGCTTGGTCCATGGGCCAAGTCACTGGTTTGAATTTTTAAATAGCTTTTCTTCCAGTAACTGGCCCCACCTCAAGATTCTAGAGTAGATATTTGTTGATTTGGTGTTTAAGGTGGGCCCAGTCACTGGAAGAAATACTATTTAAAAATTCAAACCAGTGACTTAACTCGTGGACCAAGCTAAAAGTGGGTCAAGTTACTGAAGACTCAACAAAATGTAAGTTTGATAAACTGTAAAGCCTTTAGGCTTACTTAAAATAATAGGAATATTTATTTTGTGCGAGGTTTGTGATACATGCCTAATTTATACATACCTACATCCTAAATAAATACAGTATCTCGCAATAATAAATAATGTTTTCTAACAATTACACCAGCTACCCACCTCCAGGCTCTAAATTAAGCAGAGTTTATGGTTTAAACTTACCTAATGGATATTATTACATACACAATACATTAATTGCTCTTTGCAGGATTTGAACCTACAATAGGTAATGCTGGCATAGCATTGTAATCTTTTCACCAGCATTACAGGTTAAACCTAGTGTATTATTAAGAGCGTTTACGCCGTTTGGCGCAAAAACAGTACTTTTTCAACTCGTTACAATCATTAACCAGTAATACTACAAATATGTTATAGGCATAAATAGTTAGGCAATTTCGTCGTCTAAATAGTTAATTGA